AGATTTTGGCTTAATGTAAGGCAACATCTTTATAATTAGGAATGCACAAAAGTTGAAAACTCGCACATGTAAGATAGTGAATTCTCCAGTCATCAGAGATAATAAAGTTCAACAATAATTTCTGAAAAATGATTTAGAGAGACTCCTTGGTCAGGTATGGGTTAGACTGGGTACTCTCTGAGGTTGGTTGGAGTTTTATTGATCTCAAGTGGCTTCCCTATATAAATACCAATATTATCTTGATGGTGTTGGATGGATACAAATCATAAATCACTATAATCTCAGAAGTGAATGGTAAATGACACAAAAAGCATTAGCGATATCATCAAAAGCCTGTATAATGTGGAAAATTAGGTGGACTAGTCATGTAATGACAGTGAGAGATAATAGCTGTACACCTAGGACATCGCGCCTGTATCCATGAAATATTAAAAGAACCCATCGAAGACTTCTAACATGTTGGGTAAAGATAAGGAAAACTATTACATAAAAATGAGAAAGCATGACTAGGTTGTGATTCAGAAAGCTGAAGAAAATACCCACAGAGACAAGGTCATGAATTTATTTCAGTATTAACACACATACATATTTATATTGCCCATCCTTCTACCTATCCCCCCATCAAAAAAGTGAGGGCTGTTTTTTTTTTTACTTTCTTTCCTTTCTGAAGCTCTGAAGATGGAAATATGAGTGTTTACAACACCAACATAGGATTTTTAGTGCACACAATAATTTAGCATGTCAGATCTATATTTGGAAAAAGCCTCACAGGTCATATAAAAATAAGCAAACTGAGGCCTCAGACTTAATTATGGAAGTTATCTAACTTGCTCAAAGTTGCCTACGTAGTAAACTTAGAGGTATAATTTGAATCCTGGTCCTACAATTCCAGAACTATTGCTCTTTCTGCCATACCTTTATATACTACATCCTAACAGTATTAATAGGTAAGTGGTGCAGTAGATAGAATTCTGGGCCTGAAGTCATCTTCCTGAGTTCAAAAGTGTCCTCAGACATTTACTGGCTGTGAGACCCTAGACAAGTCACTTAACCCTGTTTGCCCCAGTTTTCTCATCTGTAAAGTGATCTGGAGAGGGAAATGGAAAACAATTCCAGTATCTTTGCCAACAAAACCCCAAATGGGGTTATGAAGAATCAGACATGACTGAACACACACTAGATTATTGTTGTTATTATTAGTTCTTTTTTTTTTTAAGTTGAACCTCAGCCTCACAGGGTTTTTGCAAACAATAATAATGGTTTTTGACATCAAGATAGAAGGATGCTATTCCTCTGCCTTTCTTGAGAGTTTGAATTCATTGCCAAGGCACACATGAAGTATTTTTGGCTGTGTTTTTTAATCTGAATTGCAACACCGGGACAGGTGTGGTATTCCTTTATGATCCTGAGCTAGTTACAAACACATTTTGTTCTTCTCTTTACTGAAAGCATAAAAATAATAAAATGTGGTATACATTAAGTAATTACCAAGGGGTTAAACAAACCTTAGCACTTCACCTAGAATTCAGGTTTAATCCTATAGCATTTAAATGGTTATCAGTATGCTTTGAAATGTTGATCAGCTGGAAGACTGACAGCTCTATATCTAGGTGACTTGCCAGGAAAAAAAAATATTCTCTGTTGCTGCCAGAGTTTCTACCAGCTGCTAGAGGAAGATTACCAAACAATCCATCTACCCTATTTTTGCAGGAAAATAGCTGTGAAATATGGGGAAATAGTGTAGAGAAACAGGACATTTAGTCACCAAGTTTAAATGCTTTTAAGTCTTAATTTTTGGCTGAGCATCTACTTTCTGAGAAAATCCCCAAACTGAGAGCAATTCTATGTGGCCAGATTGCACTGTTAGTGCCTATTAGTATGATTTCAATCAGATCACTGGGATGTAAGGGGGATTGCAGGTGAGGTGGATGCTGTTACATTAGGTATGGGGAATAATCCATGCCTATTGCCTTACTTTACACCTTAAAAGCCTGTTCTCCATGCTAAAGTCTATGATTCCTCTTTGGGTTGGATATCATTGGAGAGTTTCTCAATTCACCCCAAGATATGTGTTCTTAATAGAATCAAAGCAGTTTTGTCCATGGAGATAATGCCCCTGAAATGAAGAGGCTACACAGAAACATCGAGATTTGCCCGGGAACAATGTGGATAATTTGAATTTGTGGGATTTCCTGCAACACGCAAATCATAACATTTGAATGCAGGATCTGTAATTCCACTTTCATGGACAACTTCCAACAACTAGGTCGGATTGACAACCACCTATTATTTTGTAGATAAAATATAGGAAGTTGCCAGGGGCATGCAGAGGTTAAACAATTTGCTCAGGAACACAGCTCGTAAATGTTAGAGGCAAAATTTGAACCCAGGTATTATTGATGATATATCCAGCACTAAATCCACTAAAATCCACAGCCTCATTTAAACACATTTCAATATTGTTTTACTCTGTGGTATTTTTTTTTGGGGGGGGGGATGGAAGGGAAAGGAGTCTAGACCAGTCATTTCGTCAGTGTGGAGAACCTCAGGTTAGAAATGGACTATTTAAATTCAGAAAAGTATCACAACTGTAATTTATAGAACCAGAATGTTGCCTGAGGCACTGAGAAATCAGATGACTTCCTTACGGTCACACAGATCATGGAAGTGCCAGAGACAGAACTTTAGTCAAAATCTATCTGACTTCAAAGCCAATCAGTACCATGATGGCCTCTCCAAATAAATGAAGGATACAAAAAGTTATGACTGACATCACTGCATTAATTTTTTGTTGTTATTTATTTAGTGGTAATAATTGTTGTGTACAATGCTTTCCTTTCCATTTTTTGCACCTGTTAGTATAATTCACAGAAATGCATGACCATTAATCATTTGCTGTAACTTTTGAATTTGCATGGCACTTGTCTCTATCATATTGATTGTTTCTCCTCTCTGATATGCAATGTATCATTGTGTCAAGGTTGTATTACCAATGGGACAGATGAACTTAAAGGGCTCTATAAGTGTTTAATATAATAATAATAATATAATAATAATAATAATAATAAGCAAGTCTCAGATAGGTTAAAATCAGCATTAGTGAGGACGCCCACAATGATAAAATCTCAGGTCTTGGAATTACTGAAGTACTGATCTTCTGAGTCAATAATGGTCTTCTTTTTAAGATATTACCTGACATTTTGTTCTGTGTTTCTCTGATGTACTTTAAAATTAACAATGTATGTTATCTATCGCTTGGCCTACCAAACTATAAACCTCACGAAGACATGGACTGTTTGAAATGGATGTAGTATGCTATAGTGCAGGGGTGGGCACCATGTGGCCTTCTAGGTCCTTGGATGCAGCCTTTTGACTGAGTCTAAGTTTTACAGAACAAATCTCTTTATTAAGGAGATTTGTTCTGTGAAGTTTGGATTTAGTCAAAGGATTGCACTTGAGAACCTAGAAGGCCACATGTGGCCTTGAGGCCACTGGTTCCCCATCTCTGCTATGGTGGAAAAATTCTTGTCTTTGAAGTCAGAGAATGTGGGTCCACATCCTCCCTCTGTTTGCTTGTGTTGCTTAACCTCCCTGGCTCAACCACAAAAATAAGAAAATGACTCTAAATTATTTAAGAGTTTCTTTCCAGTTCTTAATCTATAATCTGTACCTTGGGGCATCTCTGTCAGCTTATTGTATAGTGCTCTGCTTATAGGGTTACGGATTGAATCTGTTACTTATTTGGTATAGGGAACTCACAAGTGAGGGCTGCTCCATGAATTCAGGCCAATACTTTCTCTGTAACTTAGAATATCTAAAACTTGCTTTGAGGAAACTACAAAGCACAGTATTTGGCACATAACAGACACTTAGCAATTTGACTAGGGTAACCCAGCCAGGATGTATCAGAGATGGGGCTTGGCCTGAGATCTTCCTGGCTCTGAGGTCACCTTTCTATTTATCATGCCACAATGCTTCTTTGTACTCAGAGAGGCACTTTCATGTTATTATATTGTTATTTAGCCATTTCATATTCATATAACTTGTTTCCTTAATGAGACTACAGCCTGTTGATGTACAAGGAGCATTGCCTAATGGGGTGTGTCTGTGGCAAAATGACTCAAGTTTTGTGAGGAGATGGTGGAATCAGTCCCATTAATTATCTTATCACCTAAAACACAGAGAAGGATGATTGACTCAAAGTGGGTACTCGATGATAGCAAAGCTCTAATCTTGTTTTGGCTAACTTCCTTATAAAAAAGTATTTCATAACAAAATTGATATTTATATAGATCTATATGTTTATAAAGCCTTTTACATATATATTATCTCAATTGATTTTCACAATGACCTGTGGGATAGATACTATTATTATGACCATTTTTTAGGTGAGAAGCTGAATCTGACAGAGGTTAGGTGACTTCTGAAGCTTCCCACAACTAGTAACCATTTAAAATAGCATTTAGATCCAAATTTTCCTGATTCCAAGACCAGCATTCTATCTCCTATTCTCTTAATATTCTTCCTTATTTATGGCTTCTAATTTTGTCATTAATTTTCCTAATGTTAAAATGAGGAAAAAATGGATTTGGATTTAGAAATCTGTGTTAAAATTATGACTCCGTACTTCTGTGACCTAAGCTAACTTATTTCACTTCTCTGAGTTTCTGTTTCTAAATATATAAACTGAGAAGATTGGATTAGATTATCTCTCAGATCCCTTTAAGCTTTAAATCTAGGACCTTGTAAATGGGAAGGACCAGTATCATTCACCATGTTACTGATAAAGAGGTTCTGAAAAAGTTAAATGACTTTCCTGGGAGGCAGAGTTCAAAACCAGGAATCCTTATTACATGCCTGACTCTCTTATTGTGACATCACAAGGCCTCATGATAATGCAAAAAATAATTCCTTCCCAGTCAGTGTAAAAAACATCTGGTGTTCAACTCCCCATAAATACACTATTTAGTTAAATCCAAAGGTCAAGAAGCACTACTTACTAAGGCAAATTTTTTGTTAAGAATCATCTGCTCCACCAGAGATGACTCATTGTGGAAGAGATGGGGCTGCATGTGACTCCACATGTGAGGAAACCACCAGAACTCATCCACAGACCCCAGTAAGAGGTCATCTCCTTCATCTTCTTCTTCTGTTCCTACAGAGAGAAAAAGAGAATATCATTTTTCCCATTCACGGTGAGAATGTGCACATTAAAAGTATGACGTTTTATGTACCATAACAAAGGAAAATCTTGTGATACGATGATAGCAAACAGAGGTGATGTTGATGATGGTGATAATGATGATAGCTTTATTTAGATAGCACCTTAACATTTACCGTGTGCTTTCCTCAAAATAGGCTTATTAGGTAGACAGTATAAATATTAATATCCCCATTTTACATAAAAGGAAACTGATCTTCAAAAATGTTAGACATCTTGTTCAAAGTTACTCAGCTACTATGGAAGGCAGAATAATGGCCAAAATTTTTGAGAAAAAAAAGGTGTTAATCACAAAATCAATAAACCAAATAATTACAGATGGGAAATACCCAACTCTTCATTGGCTTTCTAGAAAGCTCAGATTAAAATCATTCAGCTCTCTTAGCCTTTGTCCAGGTTGCCAAAAATGAAACAGTTGTGTAATGATTTTGAAGCCTGTCAAAACAGTACATCTGAGCAATTTATATAAAAATGATCTTTAGAGAGTAGCAGAAAATGTTGAGGGAAATGAAAAAAATACATATTGAGAAGGAAGGTTAAAAATATGATTTTACATGAGGAGGTAGTTATGCCATCAGAATAATTTGTTTCTTTATGTTGGATCCCCTCCAATCCGGAAGGGAGGCTAGTTAAGGCTAATCCTTGTGGTTAGCCTCAGAGGCTCAGAACATTCAACTGGCACATCCATGTCCAACAACAAAACATATGTTCCTGACTCTAGCTCCAGCATGCTATTTATTAGATGGTGTTGCTTCTCTGTTGGACTAGACAACTTTAGCTAGTCCTGCAGATACAGGGAAAGAGACAAAGGGATAGAGAGAACAATGGAAATGAAAGAGAAAAAAAATGAAGGATACGAAAAGACAACAGAGGTGATAAAAGGTGACAAAGTATCTCTAAAAACTGCCTGTAGTGTCCTTTACTAATAATTAGGATGCCAACTGCATCCCAGTCCAAGGTCTCTATCTATGGACTTCTGGACCCAACAGAGACACCTAATTTAGCAGTCAGCCCTCTTACTAGCCCTCTATTGTCTTGTAGCTGGCTTTTGTTCTTTTCTTTCTGTCCCCCCCCCCACTGATGGTAACCAATATTTGAACTTAAGAGTAAAGTACATTAACTAATAGAAAAAGTTAAAAAAAAACTTTCAGCCTCCCCAGGCATGCAGCTTATTTCCCAAAGCATGAAATATGAGCACTCTAATGTGAGTAACTATTTTCTTGGCATAACTTCAAATGATATAAATGGTCATAAAATTATCCAGCCTTATTTAAAATTCAGCCACAGAATTTGATCCCACAATCTCTTGCAGCAGCAAACTGCTTCACTTCAAACTACATGTTCACAGTTTGAGGGAAGAAATCTTTTTTCCTCTCTCTCTCTCTCTCTCTCTCTCTCTCTCTCTCTCTCTCTCTCTCTCTGTAGTAGAAGCTGGCAGAGCTAAAGTGAATAGTTTTAATAGGGCCCTTGAGTCTAATGACAATGGACAGATTACTATACTGTTACAGCCAACTGCTCCCTGGTCCCTTTCCACTGCTACTCATTCACTTTGTTTCCCCACCAAGAGAAAAGGAATGCCAATTAGGAAGGGAGAAAAGGAGTCATAGTGTATGATTTACTGGATAATGCAAAACATTTACCAAAGAGAAAGCAACACAATGGGGTTATCTACTCATCATGAGTTATATTGGGACTCTCAAAATGCACCTTTACTGAAGTGTGAGCAAAGTCTCTTATCCAAAATGCAGGTGAAACCATACCTCAAAGCTCTACAATGATTATAGACTCAGCCACTAATTATGGGAACACCCATCTCTTGTCACAGGGGGATGGTAGCCCACGACAACAGGAACATAGACCCAGCTTCATCAATCCAGAGAAGAGACACTGACACAGGGAAATTTATCCTCACGGACCTTAAACAATACAGGAGCATACTTCCCACGTTCTGGGAACTCACCTGAGTCTTACTGTGTGCCATCTAAAGACACCATGGTTGGCCAGCCTAATTAAATCTGCCAGCACTAGCAGCATCCTCCATAAATATCCCCTAACACACCACCCCCTTTAAGCCCATTATAGAGGTACAACACAGCTCCGCTTTGACTCCCCCGATGTCCTTTACTGTGGTGCAGACTCAGCTCACAGTTTTCAGTATTGTTCCTATTTCTGGGCACGATGCTGACTGAGCCTCTAACAACAACACTAACATCATGATTTATAAAGAAAGCATAGGAGTTGAATGATGTAGAATAGAACAAATGAGGCAATACCCTAATAAAGACATATGACTTTCACTTTCATCTGGTCAAGTACTTTATTTCAGAGAAGGATCTTTCTTTTCCTTATTAAATCAGGCATTCCAATGCTAGGCCATTTTTCTTCTATTCTCCTTTCCCCCTCCCTAAACACTTTTGTACAAGTTAACAATAAAACTACCTGTAAAAGTACAAGTTAGTAATAAAAAAATATAATATTTACATAGCACTTTAAAGTTTGCAAAATATTTTATAAATATCTAATTTTATCCTCATAACAACCCTGAAAGTGAGCTGCTATTATAATCCTCATTTTACAGATGAGAAAACTGAGGCAAATGGAGGCTAAATGACTTGCCCAGGTGCACATAGCTAGTAAAGTACCTGATGCTGGATTTGAACTCAGGTCTTCCTGAATCTCAACTTTTCCCCCAATTTTTATATTCCCAACCCCTGTTCTGGTTCCTCTCTGTGGCGGCTATGGACACTTATAGAAACTGATCAACTATTCATGACCAAAGTCATTCATGTCAACAGCATAGGTTCTGTTTCCAATATTTCCATGGCTCATCGTCACTTTCTAGATTCTCAAAGGGATTGGACCAGGCAACTGTGGAAGTCCCCAATGGTCAAAAGCTTAAAAAAAAAAAGAAGCCTAAACTTCTGGGGTCACGAACAAAAGTTATGTTGGTAAATATGCCTTTGCTTGACACAGAAATAGAGTGATTAGTGTTGGAAGTGACTTCAGAGATCATTTTTAGAGACGAAAAAACTGAGGCTCATGGGGCTACCTTGGATGACTCTGAGCAAGTCATTTAATCTCTCTGACCCTCAATTTTCTCACCTATAAAGTGGGTACAACAGTATTTAAGATGCATACTTCACATGTTGACAGGAGAATGATTTGTAAATGAGTGTTAGTATTTGATTTGCCTAAATATACCTATTCGATGACTAAAGAGGCAGAAAGATCAGGCTTCAACTCAGAGCCGTAACTTATATACGCTGTTACCCTGGCTAAGTCACTTAATCTTTCAGAATCTCAATCAACTCTTCAAGACTATAAGTGGAAGAGAAAGCTCTAAACTTTACTGGTAGAGGGATGTTTCTTCTAATAATCAAAGAACTAAACTGCAAAAACAAACAAGAAAACAAAACAAAACCAGAGTCTGCCATTAGTAACAAGGACAGAATTTGAACCCAAGGCTTTGGGTTGCACACCCAGGTTTCTTACCACTATAATATACTGAAGGCAAGTGGTTCCTAGTGGCTTATTTCCTACCATTATGCACCTCATTATCCCCCTTACTGTGGTGGTTGTTGTTTTCCATCCTTTCCCCCCTTTCCTTTACAATTATTCTTCTTGTTTCAATGAGACATCATACTCACTATGTGACTACAGCTACTTTAGCTATTGCTTTCCCACCCTAGCTGAGAGAGTAGAGCCCTGTGAGTATTCATTCTCTTGGGGAACCTTAGGTAATCATTTCATTCCTCACTTCTAGTTCCACTGCCATATGTTTGTGCTTAAAACGGAGCTGAGAGGAGCACAGAAGAGAAACGGGTAAACTCTCTTTCCCAGAGGATACCTTTTCACTTGGATCTGCAGGTTTTACAGTTAATGTAAATAATCCCTCACAATTATCCCTCAAGTCCAACCTACCCCCCCTTCCCTAATGTCTGCATTTTTTCTTGCAACCCATCTTTAGCTTATTTTACTTGTTAGTCCAGCCCAAGGGCTTCATTTTATTTCAATGCTAAGAGACAGATTCAAAGAGCTCCTTGGAAAAATGACCCATTATGTCTACTGAATTCAACATAAAAGGATCCATAAATCTGAGGATACAGGAATTACACAGGGGAAGCTTGCAACCATCATGACTTTATCTCTATTAACAGCACATGCCTCCTTATACTTTTTAACTCTGTCTTTGCTGATTTTCCTCCTTATATTACTTCAATGCTATTTCCTTCAAGTGTCTACTGCTAAGTAGCTGGTGATGTAACAATAATAATAAAAAAAAAAGACAAAACTTGATGGGCTCCTCACCTTTTGACTTTACTTAATGTTTGGTCATTGGTTTGCTTAAAAACAATAACAACAAAACCCTATCAAAGGTAGAAATATAGATTAGAGCTAAAACTAAAATTTCTTCCTTTTAAAGGATTGGACTCTGTTTTAGAACCATCATATAGCTCTGCTGAATACTTTGCTGTTGTATTGGATAAACTAGAAAGTTCACTTGTTACTAATAGTTGCATTGTATCTGACTGGCCATATTTCTAATTAAGATGTGATTTCAGATATGTGTAAGTTTTTTTTATATAAATTTAACCCAACAATTAAAAGTATGTTGTGACTATATAGCTAATTTTTCATTTGTTAATTTTACTGATTCTCTATTGGCCACACCCCATATTGCTGATTTAGGCATAGGCATGGACAAGAGTCATTTAGGATGCTTAGAAATGGGGTTGTGATATGCATTGTTAGAAGGAATGCTCATCTTGATAAAAACATAGATCTTTTGAAGTTTTGATTCCCTGTGGTTATTTTAAAATACATTTAAGTGGAAAATAACTTCCATTTTATGTATCTAACTTTGGGAATGGGGAAGGTTAAAAAGAACTTTTTTATATATTTAAAACAATATTCATGCATAAATAATAAGACATATTCATTGTTATTCTCATATTTAGCTAATAATTATGAAACTTTAAAATATCATATTTCCTCTACCCACCAAAACACACTATACATACACTCACACATTCACAATCACTTTTTAGGTCTTTTTTTGCCTCTAGTGACAAAAATAATCAATAACAACAATAGCCTTTCCTTCCTAGCTCTGTGATTTAGATAAACATGTTCATAGAAAAAATGTTGTGGAACAAAAGACAGGGTGATTGTTCTTTCAAAGTTAAATGATCTTAGAATCCCTTGGTTTCTGTAAGTGTTAGAAAAGGCATGACAAAGAATGTAGAGAGCTGGCCTCAGAATTCATCAGACCTGATCTCTGATAACACTAGCTGTGTTACCTTGGGCAAGTCACTTAAACCCCTCAGTGCCCTTGACAAATCTCAAAGGCTGTAAATTGTAGAAGCATGTGCTAATCTTCATTGGCACAGCCATTTCCATCACTGGATGTTCTATATGCCAGCCATGGGGTCGGTACAAAAACAAAATAATCATAACAATAGTGCATATTTGGTTATTTTAGGGAAGCTAGGAAGTCACTTCAAAGATTTAAGTTTCGTATCATTAAAATTAGGTTGAAATGATTGGAGATGTTCAGCTTGGAGAAGAGTTGGGAAAAAGTTGATGGATGACTTTTAGTATTATTTGAAAGGTTGTTAACCTAATAGACCAGTTATGCTTGTTTTGTTTGTTTCCAGTGGGCAAAAGTAGGAACAATGGGTGGACGTTGCAAAGAGCAGAATTTAACTTCATTAAAGGAAAAACAAAAACAAAAACAAAATCAACAGCTAATGAACCATTGAGAGCTTCCCCAAGGTGGCATATGCCGCCTTGGCAAGTAGTAGACTATTGTCATTGAGAGTTTTAAAGTAAAGGCTGCATGACCACTTGTTTGTTTTATTGTAGAAACAACTCTGTGTGTGTGTGTGTGTGTGTGTGTGTGTGTGTGTGTGTGTGTGTTTGTCTCCTGAGGTCCTGTTCAGCTCTGAAAGATCTTATTCATTCATACCTGTGTGACCTTTGACATACTTCTCAGGCTCACTTTTTCTGCTATTAAATATAGGATCAGGCTAGATTGGCACTAGTTCTTTCCATTTCTGGTAGCCTTTCGTTCTGTGATCTTTTACCTCTTCTTGCTATTTCCAGACGTGATAGAGGCAGGCATGTGCTGGAGTCAGCTTGAATTGGCTCATGAGAACTGATTATTACATATTCTGTGTGAGAATTTATACTTCAGAAATAGGCAAACAGTACAAATCATGGCTTGATATATTGTTTTCTTGAATGTCTTGACAAGAAAGTGATGGAGAAAATGTTAATAATACAGATTAAACTTAAGAGTGTGTTGTACATGCTTTTATTTTTCCTTGAAAGCTGGGGGTTAAATTCCAGCTCACCCCGGTTAGAAGCATCATTTCCTACTTATCACCTCCTCAAATTGAATGTGATAAAACAACATAACAAGCACACATTTATGCTATACAGGCTTCTTGTGTCAAGACTTGTGCCTTGTTAAATTCCATGGGAATGGAATTTACCGTATTTGACATCTATAATATCATTCCTCATTTAAAATAAAATGTTAAAACACATAGCATTATGGAGCACAAAACAGTAGCTTATTATTTGTTGAAATAAATTGAAATCTCCAGGTAAATATGAGATTCCTAGTGGCATCGTCAGTGGCAAATGAATAGACTCAAAAGTGCACTTTATAATATTAAAGCTTTTAAGGCACCATCGACAGAAATTGAGAGTAATTCATGTGTCATTATAACAGAATGAAAACCTCCAAACTATTCACACCCACAGGAAATTACCCTTAATCTTTTTTATACATTACTTAAAGGTTAAATTTAAATAATATATATTCATTTTTAAGACTCTTAAGATTACAGGTTGATTATACCAGGCATCCTAATGCATAGCATAAGGAATATGGTGAGCTATTTCCTATCATATATATTATTAACTCTGATAACCTACAACCATGCTATCAAAGGTCATTACTTGAAACTTTGTATATGAACATTACTGCTTCCAGCTCTTAGCACAGTGCCTGGCACATAGTAGACACTTGATAAATGTTCATTCTGTTGTAGTATACAAACAATACAATTGAAAGAAATTTAACTTAAAACAAATCAAAAACTTACCTGTATGATAAAACTTCCCCGAAAATCCCAGGTTGAAAGTAAAATTTGTGATTTGAGTTCTCAAAAGATTCTGAGTATCAAGCAGGGCCTGAAATATTTAAAAAATATATATACATATATCATCAGACAAAGAATGGCAACTGTTCTACTTTATTGTGGTTGTTCAGTTGTTTTTTAGTTATGTCCAGCTCTTTGTAACCCCATTTGGGATTTTCTTCTCAAGGATACTAGAGTGGTTTGCCATTTCCTTCTCTAATGGATTAAGGTGAACAGAGGTTAAGTGACTTGCCCAGGGTCACACAACTAGTAAGTGTCTGAGGCCAGATTTGAACTCAGGTCTTCTTGACTCCAGGCTCAGCATTCTATCCAGTGAGACAACCAGCTGCCTCAGTAATAGATGACTGGGAGCCAAACAACACAAGTAGTAAATGTTTGTATTAAAAAAGATATGCCTTTGTTTCATTAAAGGAGCTTTCCATTTCCCAAAGGTTCATTTTCCACTTCATGTTTAATTATATTCCCAACTCATTTTGCATTTTCAGTTTCATATGTGTGTGTGTATACATATACATATATATATATATGTATACTTCATCTCTCAGTATATTTATATGTGTGTGTGTGTGTGTGTGTGTGTGTGTGTGTAAATATACTGAGACATGAACTCAATATTTTGTCCATCTAATTGCATGTCAAAATCTGGACAGGAGTAATTCATCATCTTCTTGTTTTCCCTTTGTGGATGGTCGGACCAAAATTTCACATGGTTAAGGATACTGTCTAGGAGGCTCTGTAATGTTCTGGAACTTGACGCAACCAGCACGGTACCATACCCAGACAGAAGCATATGGTGAACTTTGCTATCTATGAGAAATCCTTCTTAAACTTGGAGTCTATGCAATCTCTCCTCCTTGAAAATGTTCTACACTATGATGAGTATGCGTCTCCCCTTTTCATGCTTCAGCTGATATTAATGTTCAGAGAATGGTTAAACAAGGATATCTCTATTGTTACATCTCTTAAATGATCTTCAATTATGCCTTCAATGAAATATATTCCCATGTAGATTATTATCACTACAATTTTGTATTCCTAAGAAAGTAGATATGAGCAGATAGATGGCACAGCAGATAGCATGCTGGGCCTAGAGTCAGGAACACTCAACTTGGTGAGTTCAAATCTGATCTTAGGCACTTGCTATCTGTGTGACACTGGGTAAGTCACTTAACCCTATGTGCCTCAGTATCCTCATCTATAAAATGAGCTGAATAAGGGAATAAGAAACCACTCCAGTGTCTTTGCCAAGAAAACCCCAAATGAGTTCATGAAGAGTTGGACATGACTTAAAAATAACTGAACAAAAAAAAGTAAGTTTGGTGGTTGATAGCAGCTAATATTTTCTCACTCATAATTTTTTCAGTGTTAATAAGGTCCCCATACCTTTGGTATTCTCTTCTACTTCAGATAGATATCCTGTTACTATACCTCAATGTTTCGTAATTGTATCACTTCTAACATGAATGTCCTCTGAATATCATAGTTCTAGATCAGTAGCTATTTCTGCCTTTATTTTCTGTAATCCCCATCACATTAAATTATAAAAAGACTGCAGACAGAGAGGATCTCAAAGGGAAATTATCCTGTCAAACTTTATTTTACAGGAGAGAAAACCGAAAAAAAGAGAGATTAAATGATTGCTCAAGGTTATTCAGAGAGTTAGCGGCCATCATCACCTCAGTGTTTCACCGAAAGAGGTATTTCCTGAAAGGGGAAAGGATATACAAAACAGAAAAGTTTGTGCAGTATCATGGAGTGGGCAGAGTCGGGGGAGGGAGAGAATGATGGTAATGACATTGAACCTATATAAGGTAATGGTCTAGAAGAAATAATAGATCTGTTAAGCCATGGGCAAGAGTTGGGCTAGCAAGAAAAAATTATGCCTGCTGGAGACCAAAAGCTGGGTGGTAGTGAATGGAGTGTAAGTTCCCTAATTTCTTTTATTGTTTCCTATCTGTTCCCCTTTTCCCACCTCTACACTATATATGTGAGAACCCAAATTTCTTTTTCTATTTCTTTTTGTGTCTTTGGATCTTTCTCCATACCCATCTTTTTTATTCTTCTTCTCTTTTCCTCCATGTCTGTAGCAATTTTCCCCCCTCATTACCTTTCTTCCTACTTTCCTTTCCCTCTTTCTATATCCCAGGTATGCCATGAACTTGTGACCATGGTCAAATTGTTTTATCTGTCTGGTCTTAGTTTTATTATTTGTAAAATGAATGACATAATAAAACTGACATTTCCCAAAATATATTAGCATCTTCAAACTATATTGCTCACATTATCTCATTTGGATCTCATATTAACCTTTTAAGGTAAGTACTATAAGCATTATATCTCCCATTTTATAGATGAGTAAACTGAGGCTCAGATAGGTTAAGTGACACATCCATGGTCCAAAAACAAAAAAAAATGTCTTCCTGACTGTAGGTCCAGTATGCTATTTATTAGATGGTATTGCCTCTGCATTTGACTAGATAATGTCAAAGTAGTTCCAAAGTTGTAAATCTATGTATCTACTCTCTTCAAAAACATTATCAGATGAGAAGGTAACTCCTGCTAACATTTGTAGAACTAAGGGATAATGAGTGTAGAATGTTAAGTATAAGGCTTTTAAAAATATATATTTAGTTTGGGTGAAATTTTTTTCTTTCTTGTCTTCTTCAGACTTCATTATAATGGATGGTTCTTCAGTAGGGAGCCAGAAAAAAAATATACAAAGAAATACCAGGGCTATAACAACGAAATATATTAGTAAATATTTATTTTAAAAAGATAGAAGTCTGAATTAAGTGATTATCTACAGAGAGTTAAGGATAAGATTTAGACTTTGTTTCTATATTATAGCTTATGTTCTTTTTTTTTTTTTTGGCTAGGAAATGAGGTTAAGTGGCTTGCCCAGAGTCACACAGCTAGTAAGTGCTGGATGTGAATTCAGGTCCTCCTGAATCCAGGCTGCCACCTGGCTGCCCCTGTAGCTTATATTCTTAAGGCAAGCTTGTAATAATTTCCTAAAGGTAGTTTTATGAATAAAGCTATGAGAATATTCCATCATTTGTTTAATATTTCTTGAGTACATCACAAATAAAAAATTTTCACTGAATATTGTTATGATGATTTTATTAAATATTTCTATTGAGGACATAGTACTATATATCATAAATATTAATTGTCATTGACTATTATGTCATAATTATTTTATTCATTTTCATATTTGGTTGAAGTAGGCTTACTCTATTACCACTAAGAAGAGCAAGCTTATGAAATCAATTGTATGTATCAGATGTCTCTATTTTCCTGCATTCTGGATGTTGCATTGCAGAAACAGCATTATAGTAGTTCAAGTTCATATTCAGCAGCTATTGTAAAGGTTTCACTGGCAATTAAATGTATTGTATACATTCTGCATGAATTTATATGTTCTGGGCAGGTGTTATCTTTCTTGATCTATACCTTAATTTTCTTTGGAAGACTAAAAAGTATGAGGTTCAAAATCGATATTGTCCATTAAAGCACGTAATGAATGTAATCTGCATTCTAAGAACTTCTTGAGGTGTAGCTACTATTAATGTCACTTCATAGATGGGGAAACTGAGGTTTGGTGGGTTTCACAGGCCACAGATTTTAGAGATAGAAGGAACCTTTGAAGTAAGTTATCTCGTCCAACTGCCTTTCTTTTACATGTGAGGAGCCTGTCTTAGAGTGATCATGTAATTTATCCAAGGTTACATCAATAGTAAGTGGCAGATCCAGGATCCAGCCAAGGTGTATTAACCCAAATTCAGCACTCTTTCCGCCAATTTTCTCTGTCACTTATTTGAGAACTGGTAATAGGGTGAGTTATAGTCCAATGCTTTATCCCTATTACCAATTTGATTCTTAAGGACATTTCAGGAATATGGTTCCTACCTGAAGAAAATCTACATAAGTATACCCATTGCCTTTATTGCCTTTTAAGGAACTATAAGTACCCTTTCCCCCCCTCAAACACTGGCCAAAGAGCCACAGGACTTTTTTTTGGGGGGGAAGGGTGAACCCATACACATTGTTATTAAAATCACTATATTTGCTTTTAATGGTTCTGTGCTAAACTGTACACCTTCAACTATTTAGTGTGATATAGCAAGGATATTAGACTTGGCTTCAGAAGACTGGCATATAAATTCCAGTCTCCTCAAATAATAACCATTTGAATTTGGGCAAAACATAGATGCCCAATTTACATAACACAGAACTCCCCAGAGGGAGAGCAAAAACATAAGCAGGATTTAAAAAAAATATCTCTGGGGACTAGAATGTTGGGCTGAATTCCAAGAAGATGGAATTTAAAAGGGATAAATGTAAGACTATTACACTTGGTTTAAAAAAAATCAACCTCATAAGTACAAGGTGGAGGAGGTGATGCTAAAAGGTAATTCATCTGAAAAAAAGATTTAGTGGGTTTTGTAGATTGCAGGATCAATATGAACCATTACTGTAATACAGCAATCAAATAAGTTAATATAATTTCAGGCTACATTATGGGAGATATAATATCCAGGACTAAGGAGGGAACAGTTCTATTGTACTTCATCAGATTGCATTTGGAGAATTGTGGTCTGCAGCTAGCTTAAAAAGGCCTGATATCTAAAATAAGTAGGTAGTTATATTTTAATAATAGTAACTAGCATTTTATAGCGCTTTAAATATTATGCAATGTTTATGTGTTATTTTGCTTAACATGCATAACAGCCCCGGAAGGAAACTAAGACAGATAGGTTAAGTAGTTGTCCAAGATCACATAACTAGTATGTGTCTGAAGCAGGATTTTAACTCAGGTCTTCCCAATTCCAAGTCCAGTACTCTATTTAGTGATAATCTGCCATACCACTTAAAATCCTAGGGAATTGATACTGTTATCAAAGGCGAGTTCAGCTCAGGGAACCATGGTTCAAGAAGGGAGCTGGTAAATCTGAGAGCATCCAGAGGAAGGTGACTATGAGAGTGAAGGGCCTTATTTCTGTGTCAGGATCATTTGAGGGTTATGAGATTGGTTAGACTAGAAAATGGACAAGCTAGGGAACAAGATAGCTCTTCTCAAGTATCTAGAAGACGATCAATCAACGGAGTGATTCAACTTGGTCTACTTGTTCCAAGAGGGCAGAGCAAGGAATGAAGGATGGAAGTTACAGACAAATACGTTTAAGTCTGAAAAACTTCCTAACAATTAGTTATACTAAATTAAGGTGGGCTGTCTGGAGAGGCAGCTAGTTTCTTTTCATTTGAAGTCTTCAAAAAAAAGACTTCTTAACTGCAGTGTCATAGAAGGAATTCTTCATTTATGGGTTGAGCAACATGACATTTGAAGTATGTTCTAACTCTGAGATTTTGTGTTTCAATGAAATCCTTTAGTCTTTCTGATCTTCAGTTCTCTCTTCTGCAAAATAGTGATTAAAATGCTATGCTGTCAATTGTAAAGATATCAGGAAAAATTTGCTTTGTAAACTGTAAATTGTTATATGTGTGAGTTATTGTTATTTACTCTTCTCTGCATCCACGAAGACAGAACATTCATTTCAGATGTATATAAGCCTTTCTAGGGGCATAGGGAATAAAGTGTGTAGTTCATATGAACACAAAATATTAAAAAAAGATTTTAAAAAGAACATAAGGTCCAAATGAGACTGTAGGAAAAAGGCATGTAGGGAGAGGGCAATTACACAAAATTTAAAATAAAATCTTCCCAGACACCAATATTTGGTTTTCTAACTTTTGAATCCCAGTGACTTCTTAGTTTCTCTATTCTTCACTTAACCCAGCTAAAAAAATCTGAAGGTATGAATTTGTGGGAGGCAAAAAATTAATCTGAAAAAACTGTGAAAATGGGACAAAAGGTGGGCTTTTATATTTCTTCAGATGCTCTCTAAGTCTCTTTGTCAGACTGTGTAGATCAATTTCAGTACATCAAAGAGAGGGCAAACATTAAAATTAAAAGAAACAGTAACAGATTTTATGTGCCTATTTATGTTAGCATACATTGCCCCTTTTATGTCCCCAGTGCTAAGCACAGTGCCTGGAACAGAGCTAGATAAATATTGATTGACTGATTATCCTTAGCCAACAATTTTATTGTATTTGTTAGTCTAGATCTATGATTTCATCAGAGTAGGGGCCTCCCAAAACTGTGACATCCTTCAAAAAGGCAGTCCTGCAACGATTCTATAACTTATAGTCCTATGATGTTTCTTGGGGCACTGAAGTTCAAGGATAATTGTCCATGGTAACACAACTAGTACATATCAGAGGCAGGACCTGAATCTAGGATTTTCTGGCTTCAAGGCTGGTCTTCCATCCATTGTTCCCTGCTGTATCTCACTATTGCCACTCTAAATATTTGAAGTATATATATCATCTAAACACTATACCTAAATATTTCAGTTTTTGAAACAAGTTGCAAAACTTCATTGCCTTTCACTCATAACTATTTAGTGCATTTATTAAATGCTTAATGTCTTTTCATTTTTTTGTCTGTTAGAATAATTCACATTGTATAGAATATGAGCTTGTTCACAGAACATAGGGGATGATAACAGAAAATTTCTTTCAAAAAGCAAAATAAAAACAGAAAAAGGATAGAAGTTCATTTCACAATTTTGGCTAGGGGTAGAATTATATTATTATTATTATTATTATAGTAATGTAAAGAAAAAAGAACATT